GGCATGGATCCCGGGGAGGGTATTCTGGAACGGTCTGCATGAACCTCAGCATTAGGGTTGCTGGATTCCTCTTTGCGTCGCTTTCGGAGGATCTGTATGTCACATTCGTCAAGGTGACCGGCGTCATATGGAAAATGCGAAATTAAGCCAAAACAAATGACCCCCCATTCTGACCTCCGAATAATTGCCCATTTGATTCGGCCGCCGGAGTGAACACGGCGTCACGCTCAACCCACTCCGTATCCTAGAGCGTACTCCGTAGTGCAGTACATAATGAATACTAAATGCGAGCAAAATAAGCCCCATATGCAGCTCATGCAGCTCTGTTATGTGTGTCCATTGATTTTGCCCCAAGGTTTGATTGTATGGCTATCTGTTGCGGACTTGCATCTGATGAACTGCTGGCCGGCCCCGATTGGGACTAGCGCGGTTAACATCTGGTGTGCCCGCAAAGCCCTACCCAGAAATTTGGATACCGAACTTTTTCTCTACACCACGTCCTGCCCGCTCATTCAACCACGGCAAACCAGTAATTAGCGGCGATTTCTGCACCAGTGTGAGTATAGGAGTCGAGCCATTTCAGTGGCGTTTCTTTTCTTCCCCTCGGCAATTGGTCCGGCAGCCCTTTTTAGCGCGAGCGGTGAACCAACGCTTTGTGCGCGAAGAAGCTAACCAGTTCCACCTCTAGCTTTCAAAATGGCCAACCCCAGAGTCGAAGAGCTTCCGGATGACGAGATCAAGAAGGTCACCGTCGAGGAGCTTGACGATGATAGCAGCGATGAGTCCGAAATTGAGGCCGGTGACTCGAGCCTCCCCGCCGGTTCGACCGCCGTGATCCACTCTAGGAACGAGAAGAAGGCTCGCAAGGCCATGGAGAAGCTGCACCTTACCCGTGTGCCAGGAATCACCCGCGTCACTCTGAGACGCCCCAAGAATGTGAGTCTAGGAATGAGAGGCGGACGTGCTCCGATTCTCCCGATTGAGATAGAGGGGTTCAGGCAGCTAACGAGAGCCCAACTAGATCCTCTTTGTTATCAACAACCCAGAGGTGTACAAGTCTCCTAACAGCAACACGTACATCGTCTTTGGTGAGGCCAAGATTGAGGATCTCAACGCCAGCGCCCAGGCCGCCGCTGCTCAGCAGCTTGCCAGCCAGACTGGCGAGCACGACCACGCCGGCCACGACCACGCCGGCCACAGCCACAGCCACGAGCACGAGAAGGAGGAGGAGGACGACGACGGCGAGGAGGTCGACGCCGAGGGCATTGAAGACAAGGATATTGAGCTTGTCATGACCCAGGCGAGCGTCTCCCGCAAGAAGGCCATCAAGGCACTTAAAGAGAACGACAACGACATAGTGAACTCGATTATGGCATTGAGTGTCTAGGCAGTTCCCCTTCGGGTGGGCGTCGAGTATTTCTAGCTTGCTGGTCGTCATGTAGCGGACACCACTAGACTAGGAGTGATCGTGAATTTAAGATATGAAACCGACATATTTCAATGACAATATACATCAATGATTGGGCATCCAGCATGATCTTTGAGTACTACCGTAGTAAAGGTGACCTTGTGAAAATGCCTTCTTGTCGTGTCTTGGTTACGGAGCCAACCCTTGCTGATCCTAGTGTTCTGTAACATTCACCGGCCAGCCATAACAAGATAGCATACCTCACTACATACTGTTTGTCGACGTCCCGAGTACAATACAACACTAGACACCTTTTGATGTTGGTCCAAGAGTGGGCACTAAACCTGGCTGTGATTAATTCCATTCCATGCCTGGTCCGACCTTGCCGTGGAGTAGAGTCACGTGATTAAAGCTCGCGCCTGGGGGCCGGGACTTTACAGCTTCACTTTGCCGAAGAAGCTAACGAACGGCAGCGAATCTCTCGTCATCCCCTCGATCACCGCACAATCAACAACACAATGGCCGCAGTAAGTGCACCTACTCAATTGAGCATTCCAAGATTCGATATTGCTTTTTTCGGCGACGTTTGAACAGCCAATTCGAACCGTCGCGGGCGGCGCCATTTTTGCCTCGTCATTCTTGGCCTGGAGAAGAAAACGACTGAGCTAATTAATCTCCCCCTCGCAAATAGCCACGAAGCGCAGCTCTCAAGCTCGACTGGGCGAAAGTCACGACGTCGCTCGGCCTGCGCGGCCAGACGGTCGCGGGGCTCCAGGCCTTCAAGAAGCGCAATGACGACGCCCGCCGCAAGCTGCAGGTGCTGTCGGAGCAGCCGACCCAGGTCGACTTTTCGCACTACCGCAGCGTCCTGAAGAACCGCGCCGTCGTCGACGAGATCGAGAAGCGCTTCACCGCCTTCGAGCCTACCTCGTACGACGTCAGCCGCCAGCTCAAGGCCATCGAGGCCTTCGAGGTCGAGGCCGTCAAGAACGCAGAGGCCACCAAGCACAAGGTCGACCTGGAGCTCAAGGACCTCGAGAAGACGCTCACCAACATCGAGACCGCGCGGCCGTTCGAGGACCTCACCGTGGTATGTTCTAGCTGGGCTGGGCTGTGGCGGCTGCTGCAGTATTTCGCTGCTGCTGCCGCCGCCGTTCCCTCGCCTTTTTTTTTTTTTGTCTGGGCGACGCTGATTGGTTTGACTAGGACGAAGTTGCGGCCGCCGAGCCGTCCATCGACGAGAAGACATCCCAGCTTGTCTCCAAGGGCCGCTGGTCAGTTCCGGGATACAAGGTACGTTCTGCCCGCTCTGCGTCAAATCTCCCATTTCGACTCGGGCTTCACGACTCGAGAAGGGTGAGATATATGCCATACTTCGACCAGTTACTAATAACGACAACAGGAGAAATTCGGCGATCTTTCCGTGCTCTAGACGGACGTCTTGGGTTCCGACTTCCTTTTTGTTTGTGTACTCTAGCATTGTAGATAGCAGAAATGCCGCGTCGGCGAGGAGGGGGTGGCAGGTGAATTGCATCCTGATTGATATCCAAACCGCTTGCCTACCTGTGCTCTGTGTGTCTGCACCTGGATGGGTGCCCTTTTAACCCAGTTATTGGTCCCGGCTTGCTGCCGGCTCTGGTCCGTTTCGGCGCTGCAACCGCCCTCTGTTCTCTCGGCCAAGATAAATATGGCGACAGCTTGTCTTGTTAACACTATTTTATGAGCGCTCTGAGGATATGCATGGCAGTTTACATGAGGCTGTACAGCATATGTTTTGCGTTCAACTTCCTCTGTGGATATTTGGCACCGGGCCTTACACGTGGTATAGCTGTAGACGGAAAGCACATCTCTGGTGTCGGCCTCCCGCTTGTCAAAGACTCAAACCACTCGTCAGGTCTACGCTCTCTGTAGCTATTTGTGTATTGTCGATATCCTCTTATCTCGAGGATTGCCGGCAGCCTTTATATCCGTTCTCGCCATAGCCCTGTCCATTATACGCCCATCAATTCTACAGTGTTTCATATCTGAAGTCAGTTTCCACGTTTGACATATTCTCGCATCCATACTGCTCTGCAGAGTCGGATAGGCTCCGATGTCAAACTAGCAGCTTACGTTTGTTCCTCGTTCACTGCCCGGCAACCCCTACTCTATCTCCTAGCCATACTAACTGGTTAATACATAGCATGATGAGGTCAAATCCCGCAAGCCCGAGCGCAGCTCCTCTAATAAAGCTAGCTCCGTTATTTGCCTCACTGATCGACTGTTTTCGGTGGTTGTACTTACCATAGTATGTATGAACGCTGTTGTGAATACTCGGCTGGGGGCTAACGGGGGGTTGGTGGTGAATACTCGGCTGAGGGCTAGCAGGAGGTTGGCCGTGTTGTACCTTGTTCGTTGCCTTGATTCTCATCGTTAATTTGAACAATAGTGGGAGAAAACTTAATTAGCATTAATACAACTAAGTTGGCGGGCTCGGGTTGTGGCATCCGATAATAGTAGAGAAGCAACATGTGACGGTCATGCGATGAGTGTATATACAATCCAATCCCTGAATGTTTGTTGGCGTGGTACTTGGGCAGAATAAATATGACAGCCCAGCAAATATACCGGCCAGGAAAAGTCTTAGGTATTTTAGAGAAGAGATAGGCCTCTAGAATTCTAAAGTAGGGATTCCAATCGATCTTACCTCCTTTGACGAAAAAACCTTCAAGGCGAGCCGTAGAGTATTAAGGCCTTTCGAATCTTGGAAAACCCCCCGCTAACAAATTGTCACAGTATGTGTTAACAGTGGGAAATGATGACTTTCTAGCAAGATCAGTCAGTCTCTAGATAGTTTCTATACCGGCTTGTACGTATTGTGGCTGCGCCACGATGTCTTGCGGCTCTGCCGGAACTTGTCCGACGCCGCCGAGTTGGCCACGATCGAGTTGTCACTGCATCGGTACAGCACATACTTACCGCTGGGATGCTGGGTCGAGTTGGTAACAGCGAAGATTTTGGGTTCGCTAAGGCGCGAAGAGTAAGTATAAGTGATCATAGTAGGGTTGGGGGAAAGGGGTTCAGGGAGGGAGATCTGCCCGATGGTCTTTATCTCGACGGGAATGCCATACTTCTTCCAAAGTCACAATGAAGCTACTCAAGGAGAGTTCCTAGTCCAAAGCGCTCTATCCCGACAACTACGGTAGCAAAACTATCTTGGCAAGCCATCTTCCCCATATATCGATAACGACAGAAATAACAAGAGGCGTATACTTGCGACAGGAATAAGGAAAAAGGCTTCCCAGTGTGCCGAAGAACTATACTCTTCGGTGTTACGACTGCAATCCGAGCTGCAAAGTTCAAGCATGAAGCTCGCTTCGTCTTTGCATATCTTGATTGCAGTACCGCGGACAGCCTCTTCGGCCGGCTCTGTTCTCACCGGCTCTGCTAACTGTGCAAAAACATCACACGGGTCCTTTTACCCGTCACTGCCATCATCGTAAAGCAACCTGGCACCAAAGGGTGGAGTTGAATGTCTCGCCTCCCCTCATCAACCTCATACCGCAGACAGTTATCACCGGGGTGTGTCAGGGCCGAGGATGGCAAAAAGGAATGCCCACACCAGGGCTCGAACCTGGGACCTGTCGCGACCACATTTGGTGATGTGTGAGGCGAACGTCATACCACTAGACCATACGGGCTGATGCTAGCTGGATTGCTCCTGCTGTTGATGTCTGTTTGGCTACGTCTTGCTGGATATCAGGTCCACACGATGGAGACGAGGTGGAGAGCTGCTCTGTTTCCTGTCTCCACAAGCCGTGTGCAGGCCGTAGTTGATTCAAACAATGTTTGAAGCTAGTTCCAAGGTTTCGGTATGAAAATAGAGATAAAGAGAGTTAGAGAATTGAGTCTATGATAAGATCAAGCAAGGGTTGTACTGTATGGCGTTGCAACGGAGACTTTGGAGTGAAGTCATTTCGAGAGTTGCTTGATAGAACCCTAACCCTGGACTAACCATATTCTACGCATCACGTGGGAGATCCCGGTAGGGGCCGTGCATCCGCCAATCGGTAGTGTCATCCATGCTTGAATTGAGCTTTTGCTTTGAAGCTTTCGTCATTGCAACAAGCCCCCCTAGATCCACACATACTCGGACTCTGTTACCGCAGCACGACTGGTGGTATTATTATTCCTCCTCCTTTGCTCCGGCACTGCCCCTCGACTCCCGTGTGGCGGAACGGTAACGATTCCAAATTCCATCCGAAAGAGACAGAATCCGAGAGAGGAAAAAGAAGCATGGCGCCCGTCTTCCCCAGCCGCAAGTATCGCATCCCAGGCGACCCAGGCAACGTGGGCGCGCGGTACCGCGCCATGATGGCGAAGCGGCCGTTCCTGCTCTTCGGACTTCCCTTCCTGACCGTCATCGTGGGCGGCTCCTTTGCGCTGACGCCGGCGACGGCGATCCGCTACGAGAGGCAGGACCGCAAGGTGCGGCAGATGACGCGCGACGAGGAGCTGGGCGTGGGCAAGACCAAGCGCAAGGTGGACATGAAGGACGAATATTATGTGAGTTCCATATTATTTTGGCCCGTAAAGGATAATGATATGGGGGGCCATGCCCATCGTCAAAACGCCTTGGTAGGTTGCTGACACACAGCCTCGTTGCCCTCCTCTCAGAGACTGGCCGCAAAAGATATCGACAACTGGGAGCAGAGAAGGGTCAAGCGGCTAGCGGGAGAATCTAACGGAGTCGTCTGATGAAGATTAATAAGAGACGACGAAAAGAAGAAAGAGAAAGGACCGGGGAGCGTGTGCCGGAAGGCGGGCAACCCGTCTGCTGCGCCGCCCCCGAGATATCTTTGCCACCCGATATTAGCGGTCGACAGAGATCCGGGATTGGTGGATGTGTCTGCGTCTGGCAAGGCTGAAGTGAAGAAGCCACATATTGCCGTTCCCATATGGAATGCCTTCGAGTCTCGCCTTTATGGGATCGATCTTGCGATATCTCGGGCTATGGCCGTGTCGCTTTCGCGGCCGATGCACCGCGCCTCGCTATACATTGTCCTTTCATCCAGGCCATATCTAGTACACTTCGATGCTCGATCATCAGCAGGCCGGCACAATCACAGGGATGACTCACGGGCGTATCATGGCGTTGGAATAGGAATCTGGTTTCAGCAATTCGAGGCTGGCAGTTGAGGCCTCGACCGCCGAGGCCCACCATCTTAATTAGGCTTTTGAGTAAGATGCCACAGACGCCAGCCTTGTCTCAACCCGTTTGCGGGTTCCACCACAGCTTTGGGTCCGCTCCCGGGCGGGCAGCCCGCGGAGGCTATTGCGGCGGGTTCAAGGAAGAGGGATTCAGAGGACGGGAGGCTGGCTGGGGACTTGCAGTGCGAGGCTATGGTTCACAAAGGTACCTGGCCGCCTGCTTGGAAATCAGACATCCAAACACACATTCCTTAGACCTCAGCTACCTTACCTTAGTCGCACACTGAGAAGCAAACCGTACCCACTCGCTCAAAAGCTTGTATGTCCAACTGGCTTACTCACTGTCAATGCGGACATGCGGATGGAGCTCGGGAGGCAGCATGGGGGCCCCCGCTGCTGCTGCTGCTATAGTTTACACTATGTTTGATGTTTGCTCGTGCACTTCATAGCTCCCCGCGCAACGCAAACCTTGAGATGGGACGATGATCGTATGTGTTTTAGCAGAAACTCCTGCCTTAAACGTTTCTCCCGTCGACTTTCTTCCCCATCGGGTGATGGTCGGGTGATGTAGGAGATGGTTGCCCCCTCCCCGAGTCCTGTACGGATATGTACCTTACCTTACCTTACCTTATGAAGGGTATGTATGGGTACGGATACCGAAAGAGGTATTTTGAGCGAGCCGCGTGCCGAGGTGTGAGCGGCGGCTTGCCATTGGGTGGTTTTCGAGCCACCGGGTGGGTTTGGTGGGCGACGGGAATGCCAGCCATTACGTGTGCCGCCATACAACTGTCTGAGACTCTTGGGTTGGTGAAAAAAAAAGTACGGTACGTGTGGTGACAACGGCGACGAAAGTGAGTAAGCAAGCATCTCATCTCGCCCGTCCGCCGGCTGGGCCCCAAGGGCGTTGCGCACCTGCGCAGCTCTCAGCCGCTTCACTATCCGTTCCCTACTTTGCTGTGTGTACTTGATCCGGGTCCTGGAAAGGTACGGTCGGGTCCTGACATCCGTACGGATATCGAGGCCGGGACTCCACCGCGCCGACGAATGTGGCGCGTAATAAGCTCACTCATGTGAGGGCTGGTATATCATGAAAAGCTTGGCCTGGCATCAGCCCCTCGGCCTGGACCCTCGAGAGGCGAACTAGGTACCTGACTTGTGACGCTGGCTGGAGGTAAAATTGCTTTCCTAGGTTGTCAGGTCTCGTGCTGGGCAGTACGAGATATGATAAAGCTACTTCGTACCTCTTTTTGTACATGTACATACGAACTTTACCCGGGGTCTGGGGGCACTCACTCAGACATCATCATTCCTCCCGGACAGTCCGGTGACGCCTCGTACTCTAGTTAACTGGGATAATTATGGGGCTAGACTCTTGATCACGAAGCGCCGAGTGAAAGCGAATGCAGGGAGAGTGAGCACGGCAAGACAGACGTTCACAAACCCGGCTTTAGAACAGGAGGGGAGCCTCGTCTGGGTGTTCTAGGCGATCTTGGCAATCCAATATTCCTTAACTACCGAGTACGTACGCGAGGAGTTCGTCCGATCACCAGGCTATCGCTCTTTATCATTCTCTCTCGGTGGCCTGATGACGGAGCAATTGCTCGATGGGCGGAAACTGGAAGTGAGACTGTCACCCACAAACCCGACAGACTGGCTTTTTTCCGGTTTTTGTCTCTGATGTTTCTGCCCTGCATTTCTGTATTCCCACGCCATGTTTCGGGCTGAGAGTGAAAACCTGTCACTGATGTGGATGAACACGGCCTCTTGCCCAACAGAGACAAAAAGAGGCGTCGAAATAATGAGAATAGTGTCCAGTCTAGCGAAGCTCGCGCCAATGAACGACTTGACTTGCACCCCTGGGGGATCAGCGGATCAACCACATGGCTGGTACTGTACGCATAGCGCATCCGTACCTGAGCAGGCTTGTGGGTTGCTGTTCCTAATCTGGCCATGTCCGCCGTCTTTCCAATCACGACGGGCAGCAACACTTGCCGAAAGGGCGCCGAGCCGGCTTGGGGTGGCTCGGGTGGGAAGCGGGGGAGCTGGGCTTGCTGGGCAAAGAGGTCTCATGAGCAGCTGGCTGCTACCTAGAATTTTTGCTCACGCGGGAAACTTGCCACCCCCCTGGACACATCCTGCCGTGCTGCAAGGGCGGTCACAGACTGACAGCGCTGTCCGTGTGATGAGAGAGAATGACGAAAGCAAGCTTCAATCCGTCGAGCTCTGGCAAACATCGATGCTGTCTTTCCGTTGGAGACGGGGCTTAAGAGAGTGCTATTTCTCTGCGCCTCGAGATCTTCCTGCTACGCCTGTTGCCTGGTCGCTAGATGAGGCCAGTCCTGTCTCTCTGACGTGTCTCCGGAAGCCTTGTCCATTCGCAGGTTCATCCTTGCAGCAGGCCGAACGGCCCGCAGACCTCGAAGGGGCCGGGAAGCAGTCACGCCTGGCAAACTCTCCGCTGCGAAGCACGAAAGCGCAAAAAGAAAATTGGCTTCCTTTGCCCCTGCCCGAGGTGTTTGCGCCTCCTCGCTTGCTGTTCTGGTTGGTGGGGGAGGGCGATCCACCCATGACGTATCCGTCGCCCACCAACATGAGGGGTACCTACCTCGAAAGGCTCAAGGCTGCACTGAGAAAAGAGGATCGCTGGCTATGGCGGTGTGGCACTGTGGGTAAAACCGCTTCGTTTCCTCGAGGGAGTCACCGCTCGCCTCGATCTCGATCGCACCCACCTTCATCCAATGTTGAAACGCACCAGTCCGAGTGATGACGCTTCGCCCATTTGCGCGGCGATCTCATCCTGCTGGCCGCGTCGCTCTGGGATGATGTGCGATGGCTCGCCGAGGTTGTGGCGGTTGCGGTGGTTGCAGGGCTTGCAAAAGCCGTGTTCTGGCGAGCTCTCTGCAAGACTGCTTCAAAAGGTGTGCGAAATCCGTGTTCAGATTCGTATTAATCCCGTATCTTGACAGCTGAGCTTCGCTGTGGTGGCTTGTCTTGCCCCTTCCAGGAAAAGCGGCCATCCGAATGTGACTTCGCCCGGTATTCCGTAGCGGGCGTCGACCGACCTGGAGAATTGTGGGCCGTGGCCATGGCGACTAAGGGTGTGCAGACTCCAAAGCAAAAGACAAAGTCCCCCCGTTACGGGCCAGTGCTGGGGCCACCTCACACCTCCAGTCAGCCACCAGACGCACGCTCCAATATCACCTTGGTTCTGCATTAGATCTTCCTAGTTGGGCCTTGCATGCGTGCGCTGCAAGGTACACCCCCCATCTCTAGGTCGTCATGGCGATCTGCAGCTTTCGTCAGGTACCACCACCACCTAGCACTTGCAGCCAGCCAGTCCACCTCCGGACCACCTAGCTTGTTAAATATCCCGCTGCCCCGCGCCTCAGCCAGCTGCTGCTAACATCCATCTTGATCCAACCCTTCAAGCCAACCCCTTCCGGACCCGGGCAGAGAGAGCATAATTGCCATCTCGTCTGCTCAACTCGAA